GGGATTAGGGACCATTAAGTGGATCCAATTTGTTTCCAGATATCAACAAGCACAATCACCATGGGAGAGGGTGATAAACTTTTTATTTTTTATTTTTTTCTAACTAAAGTGATTCAATTATTCAATAGGTTCTGGTTCATCTTATCTCAACTAGATTAATTATATGCATATTAATAATATATTTGATTTGGTGAGTGTTGTTTCATATGAATTACAGCAATAGAGCTTGGAGAAACTTATTAACTAAATATTTATAAAACTAATTAAAAAGAAAATTAATCAAACTTTTTACAAGCTTAAAATTAATTATACACTATTTTTTTTTATACTTTTATTATTTATTTTCTTTTGTGTTAAGGTATATAGCTTTAAAAAAATTATAAATTAATTTTAATTTATGAGAGAAGTTTGATTTATATATTTTAACTATGATTGGGTCAACTTTCCTTTGATATTTAAAAATTACTTTAAAGATAAAATTTGAATCAAAACTCTAAAAATAAAGTAGAAAGTAAAAATTGCTTTACCTTAAAAGTTTTTTTTTTAATAAAAGGTATAATGCATTCTTATTAGGTTAAACACTACAGAATAAAGAGATATTTTTTTGTTGAGATTTTATCTCTAAGTTCAAGATTGAATATAGATTTTTGGTTGAGAAACATAAATGTTAAACAATTCATACTAATAACTTTTTTGATTATCCCTAAAGCTCTTTTTAAGTGGAGAGTTTTGTTTCAACATTTCACATGGATTAGTTTAAGATAAGAGAGGTTAGGGCATGCAACTTATTTTTAAAACTACTTCAATTAGTTTTTTTTATAACTATTTTTCTCCACTCTTTTATAAAAATTAGGTTCATTAGCTTCTTTAAAATTTTCTCCCCCCTATTTTAAAATGTATTTAATTCAGTTTGTTTTTTTTTTTAGTGATGTAAAGATAATACTTTAACACACAGACAAAAACTTACAGTCTTAAAAAAGCCACCACACTCACATCATCTAAGAGTCGATAATGCAACTCAGTTGGAGGAGCATCCAACTATAGTAACATAGTTCGGATTCAACTTTACTAAAAAATAAACTTTTCTTTTAAGGATAAAGAAACCAAAAGTAAAAAAGAAAAAAAAGAGTAATATATTATTTTATCTTCTTAGTTTCTCTTATAAATATTTATAAAAAATAGTGGAATATTTAAGTAATATTGTACAAAATCTTAAATTTTAATTTTATTATCAGTTATTAAAATTTTTTATCAATAACTTTTTTTTATCCAAATTGATCCATTTATAACAAAAAAAAAAAAACTTCCCCACTACCTTCGGACCAGGCACTCATATTGTGTTCCGCAAATACTAATTTTGCTGTGATAATAATATTAATACTATCGTGTATATATATATATATATATATATACACAAAATTATCATTTTGTGTTGTTAATTACCTAATATGAATCAAGTAAATTACATCAGTATATGAGTTTTTTTTTTTTCACATTAAGATATCTCTCAACAAATTTTTTGTCTACAAAAGTTTTTTTTCATACACAAGAAATTAAATCCCTAACAATATACTTTGAGAATCTAGTTATTTGTTAATTGTATTAAGTGGTTAGTAATATTATTTGAGTTTTATGGTTATGCCCAACAAAGTACTTTAAGATTATCAATCAATTATTATTTGTTGATATATTTTTGTAATTATTTATTATAAAATCAATAAATTTTATAATTGAATGACAATACGATTATATACCTTACTTTCTCATATGATTATATTATAATTATTATTGATTAAATATTTAATTTGATCCTAAAAATTTGGTACAAGTGAGAGATAGAATTTTTTTGACATTTAAGTTTCTAAATTTAATTTCATTATGCAAGTTATTTATTTTGTTATACTTAGTTACTAACTCTATTAATTTCTTGAATAATCAGTAATTAAAGTGTTAGATTAATAAGAACTTATCAACTATTTCTACCATCTTTTAAGGATATAAATTGAGTATTTATTTAATTATCATCACTTTTTTTTTTATGTCATAATTATCATCACTTTTTCTTTTTCGACCCACTCAATATCTAAACATCTTTAGATGTTTACTAATAACCTGTGTTCAAATCATATAAAATTATTAACGATAATGAGTTGTAAATTCGTATTTAATTTAATTTAATTATATTTTTATGAGTAAAACTCAAAATTATTAATTAAGTTAGAATAATTTCTATTAATTAAAATACACACTTGGTAGTACAATTATCATCATTGTACAAGAAGAATTAAGCTCCGGGTGAAAATATTTTCCTTCGTGCAGCAACTGCACATGATTCCCAAAACGAAAGTTAATTGGGTTATTATTAAACTCAAAGTATGGTTAAGTATTGTAATGTATATGGGCAATCTTTAGCCCCAAGTTGGTGCTATACGTGTATTGTTTATATTGTGTCTTTTAGAGCATGGGAAAAATAAAATTAACTGAAAATGACATTGGCATTTTCATAATGATAGATATAAATGAGTGTGCTCAATTATATGCATTTTCGGGCACATTGTTTGTTTATGCATCAAAAACCGGAGTGGTGTTTTCCACTATATCCATTAAGGCCAGTTTATTACATATTAAAATAAAACCAATTATGATGTAAAAGATGTTTATTTACAGCAATAAATTACTTTTTAAAAAATAGTTAATTATGTTTTTAAATTAAAACTGAAATGAACATATTATTTTTTAAAAATAATTTTAAAAAATATTCTTATTAAACAATTTTTTATTTTAAAAATAAAAAAGTTGTTGTCAAAATAACTATATTTACCGGTGACAATTAATTCAAATTAAAGTGAAGTGATTAATTTATATTTTTTAACGTAGTAAATTGACGTTGATCCCAATTTGGTGGATTCAACTTTATTACTACATAAAGTGATGTAAGCAAGCAGTATAGTTATGAATATTACTTTAGAGAGAAAATTGTACTAATTTAGAATATGAGGCCAAAGCAAAGGTATATACATATTTGATCTTGTTTATATAGTTGTTTTAGCTAAAAATGCTTCCAAAGTTTACACCATGATGTAGATTTTGTTTCCGGGATTTATGGATTTGTGCCTGCTCACTTCTTTGGCTTTGGCCCTTCATTTCATCATTTGTGACATTCTAACACCCAATGGCTACGTTTTACAAAACAAATTCTGCCATGTCAACCCAATTGTTTAAAATTAACAATTCTAAATTATATGATTTTAACAAATTAAACTCAATTCTTGATGGCAAAATTAAGAAAATGCAGCCTCCACCTTTTTTTCTTGCTTGGAAATGAAGATGGCTAAAGAAATACTTTATTTTTCACGGTTTACCAAACACCTGCCCCATTCGGTTCATAGATTTCAATTCTAGTCCTAGGTTATATTTAATAATAATAAATTAATGCATGACATTGAAAGTAAAATATAATTGAATAAAAATATCATTTCATTATATATATTTTAAGAGCAAAAATGACAATAAGGGACAAACTCATCTCTTACTCAACCTTAAATTATATATAATAGGTATGTTCATTTTTCCGTTTGAACAACGATTAGCAGACTTTCCCAACTTTTTAAGACAAGAATGTAAAAGAAAAATGGATGTTGGATTGACGTTTAATTAGAAATAACGAAAAACAAACATGCACATTGTATATTTAGTTTGGATGTGTATGAGTAATGCCATGTACTAGTTAAAAACATAAAATATTTGAACTAATTGAGATATTAAATGCTGTGATTTTGTTGATTCAATTGTGGTGTTAATTATGTTTGTATGTAAATTATTCTTTTTATGATAATAATGAACTATAGAAGGAATGTCTTTCTATTCTAAGTAAATTAATAACCAAAATATTAGATGAAATCAAGATGGAAGGGCTTGATTGTAAATGAAAAATAATTTGAAAATTCCAATTACTACAATGAATTAAAAAAGACTAAAATTTCATGACTATAATATTTGAGAGACTAAAATTATTAATATTTATTATTATAATTCTTAAGAATTATTACGACAATGTTTTAATAACATTAAAAAACTAAATAATATTGTATACAATTTAAGAAACCAGAAAAATAGTTTTTGAATAGTTTTTAAAGATGAATTCAATATTTTATTTTGGGTATAGAAGATTAATTCGATTGAATATGTAAGTTGCAAAGAACAGCCTAAGACAGTCTTAATAAAACACCCAAGTGGAAGCTGAAAGGGATTGTAATGTATGTGTCACATTGTAACCAAAAAGACATTTTAAAATAATCCGGTTATCAAGGATGTTGTCCATAGAGATGACCCTGCTTCAGGAATATTATTTGAATGAGACAACACGTATAATAACTATTTCTTTAATTCTGGTTTAAGCTATAACTATTTATCTAATTAAGCAATGATTAACATTTTAGACTTAATGTTTAATTAAATATTAACTAATGCTCAGTCGTGACGTTGATATAATAAAGATATGTACCAAAACAATTATGTCTCACGTATACAAATCCTTTGCATATACTGTCAACGTTCTTGGATCCCACACCACCCAAGCAATTCGTGTGCTTAACCACTCTATCTCTATCCACCAATTTTTAGTCAATGATTGTAGAGAATCAAACCGGAAGAAAATGAAAGGAAGAAACAACATATAAGACGCTATAGCATGATTGGTTGAGTCCATCTTCTGGAGAGAGAAAAAGAACAACAACATCATAAGATATGCTAAATGATTGTTTAATTAACACCTGAGGCTTTGCTTTTGCAGAGGATAGAAAATTCTCGACTCTGAAAAGGTAATAACATAGCATTGTTGCCTCACAAGACACATGAAAGAAACACAACCACAATTAAGAAAGCCAAATATTTCTCCATCATTTTGGACCCCCTGATACCTGGGATTCCTTTTTAATAAAAAAAAAATTACTAAAGTTTGTTCCTTTGTTACTTCCTAGTTTCTACCTCGCATATTTATAAACACATGCTGTCCTGTCTCTCTATAAGCTAATTCTCTCTCCTCTCTAGTGATCAGCTGTGTTTCTTTCTGATACAGGTGATTTTGTTGGATACAACCATGCAAATGATCTTTTCAGCTTATAGTTAGTTATTTTTTATCCCTTTCATTTCAATTTACTTCATCTTTAATTTCTTGAACACTTAGTTATATTATTCCATTTGTGTCTCAATTCAATAGCATGTTTGGATATAAACCAAAAGTACTTTAGAAAAAATTCTCTATAAAAAAAGTTCTTTATTTCCGGTAAAAAAACTCTTTTACGCTTGTATACTCTTTGTTCCAAATTTTTGGGAGACTGATTTTTTCCTAACACATTGCAGCAAGGTCCAGTGCTTTGGCTTTCCTCATAATGCAAAAGGCCAAAGAGTTATTAAACTTGGATTAGTACTTATTCTTGGTCTTGTGCGAGATGGAGAATGATTGTATAGAGGACATGGACATTGAGGCCGTTCCTTCAATGTGGCCTGAAGATATTGGAACCGAGGTTGGAAAGCAGTTCAATATAGAAAAGCCTGGAAGGGACCAAGACATGTTAGAGGAGGTTACAATCATAGAGGACCCAACTATAGTTGATTTCAAACGTCTAATGGAGCTGACAAATTTTACAGAAAAAGGGTCTTCTCAGTTGGCATACCTAATGAAACAATGGGAGTACAAGCAGGCCAATGTTGTGCGCCTTCTGAGGGAAGAACTTGACAACCTAAGCAAACAAAGGCAAGATGTTGAGCTCAGGAAGTTGGAGATTTTGGAAGAGCACCGGTTCGAGGAAGAACGTTATGGGGGTGATAAACGCCCGGTTTCTATATTGGATGATGTTTATGATGGTATATGGCATGATATACCATGCAGGAAGAGTGATGTTGTGGTTCAAAGCAAGAGGAGTGAGATTGATGCTGAGTATGACACTGTCATGTACTGGAAACAGCGAGCTTTGCATTTGGAAAAGCAGCTTGAGGCAAGTATCCAAAGAGAACAAATACTTGAAGATAAGTTGCTAGAGAGTATAGCAAATATTGAAAGGCAGTCCTCACCTGTGGAAGAACTCTCCCAAATTCTCAAGAGAGCAGATAATTTCTTGCATTTTATACTCCAAAATGCTCCTGTTGTTATTGGCCATCAGGTATGTCACTAAGTATATTGATTTTTTTTCTTCTTCTTTTGATATATATCATAGGTATCTTTCATAGGAGACAATCCTATAGAAGCAGGCTAAGATCATTATAGATGGTAAAACTCTTCTTCTGAATATTTAATGCAATTATATCTCAAAATTTGAATTCAAAATCTATGTGCTCGTTGGTTTTTTATTTTTTTATTTTTTTATTTTTCTGTATGAGATGACTTGTAGAATAATCTTAGCATATTATATGACTTGAAATTGATCGAGATTTTGAGTACTCTTTAAATAGTAACCAGCAAGAAGGTACTGCTTGCCATAACGAGGGCTCCTTTAATCTGCTTGATATTTTTCTTGCAGGACAAAGAGCTGCGCTACTGCTTTATCTATAATCATTTTCCAAGTTTACAAGAGGAGGTAATGATTGCTGTTGAAGCTCTTGTTGCAAGGTTATATGATTAATGTTGCATTAATTTGTTTTGTTCTATATAGTTTTCTATCAAAAGATGCTGAAAACTAAGAAAGTAAGAAATAAGAAACAACTTGTTTCTTCTCTTTTAGTTCTTTTACAAAGGATTTTTAAGCATATTGAGATATCTTAGCTCTTCAACTTACTCGTCTTTTTTAGGACATCATAGGAAAAACTGATGTCGAAATATTCACGGGAGCTGGTGTTAAGGAATCTCAAGATTTTAAGAGAGAAGTTTTGGAAAAAGGGTTACCTGCGAAAAGGGAAATCACTTTTGAGACAGAACTATTTGGGTCCAAGACATTTTTGATATATGTAGAACCTGTCTTTAGCAAGGCAGGGGAGACAATTGGAATAAACTACATGGGAATGGATGTAACCGATCAGGTAAATGTTGTTGTTGTTGTATTTTATTTTTTTTAATGAAGTTGTACTTTCATTCTTGTGCTTGTTTATTTATATTTCTTCAAAAAAAATCAGGTGCGAAAAAGAGAAAGAATGGCAAAGATTCGAGAAGAGATTGCTGTTCAGAAAGCCAAGGAAACAGAACTGAATAGAACCATTCACATTACAGGTTCAATCACTCAGTCAAATTCAAATCTCATTTATCAAAATTACTTCAACTTGTTCTTTTAGCAAGAAAGCTTATTATGTTGCCCCCTCCTTTAATAGAGGAAACTATGCGAGCAAAACAAATGCTGGCAACAATGTCTCATGAGATAAGATCTCCATTGTCTGGGGTTGTTAGCATGGCTGAAATTCTTTCTAACACAAAACTTGATTGGGAGCAAAGACAACTCTTGGATGTCATGCTATCTTCTGGAGATTTGGTTCTTCAACTTATAAATGACATACTTGATCTTTCCAAGGTTGAGTCAGGTAGGAAATCCATTTCTTACAATTGATATATGAACTTATGAATTATATAAAGACTAATTTTAATCGTTCGGAGAGCAACTTGGAAGTTGCTTATTGTTAAGACAAAAAAGTGCTTTAGATTTTTTATTTTAGGTGCTGATATTTTAAGTTTCTACACCTCCTCCAAAATCATCTTCCTGTTTAGGAGTGATGAAATTGGAAGCTACTAAATTCCGGCCAAGAGAGGTAGTCAAGCATGTACTCCAGACCGCTGCGGCTTCATTGCAAAAAATGTTAACTTTAGAAGGACAGGTGGCAGATGATGTACCTATTGAGGTGGGGACTTAGTTACATCCTTTGCTGTTATATATTTAGCATTGTTATTGTCCTTAAATGTTGGACTATTTCAATTATGCACCTTTGCTAATAATAATTAAGTTTTGGGGTGTTATCAATGTAATCATTTGATAAATGTTCAACCAATACTAGTTGATACAAATAATAGTGGTATGTGTCCCTTAATTAAGTTGTCCAAGATTCAAATGCTAACTTTAAATATAAAATAGACCATGCCGGAGAGAATACTCACCTTATTTACTTCTAATCTTTCACGAAAATTAGTTACTAAATCATGATAAATGCACAATAGTATTTCCAAAGAACATTTAACATTGTACTGTATCATGTTACACATTATTTCATCTCATTAATTATTTGCACTTCTTCATGCAAAATTGCAGGTTATTGGTGATGTATTGAGGATGCGGCAAATTCTCACAAATTTAATTAGGTACTGAGCTTCATGTGATTGGTAGTCTTATTTCCAATTAGTTTGTTACGTGAATGATCCAATTTTTCATTTCCATTTATTCTTTTGGTGGAGTAGTGCCCTCTTCTGTACTTGGCTGCACATAATATATAATAGTAAAAGAAAAAAATTATAATGAAAGTAGTTCTGTTGTTCTACATTCATTTTTACTAATATTTTGCAGCAACGCCATCAAGTTTACTCATGAAGGCAAAGTTGGGATAAACCTTTACGTTGTGCCAGAGCCTACATTTGCAAAAGCAGAATGCATCCAAAAGATGACTCCAAACCAGTCAACTATTTCAATGAATGGTGTGAAAGAAGATAAGTATCTCTCAACACCACAAAGTGGCTGTGATCGAAATCTTCTTGATGGTTGTCAGAAACATGGCGATCGCCTCAGCCAAAATCATGCATTCAATGAAGAATGTAGATCTCCAGTTAAAAGCGAATGCTCAATGAACGGAGACACAGAGGAGCAACCTCATTCAGCTGAAACAACAGTGTGGATACGTTGTGATGTATATGACACAGGCATAGGAATACCAGGTGTGCATATATTTGTGAACCTTGCCTTTTATTCATTACACAACCCTGATCTCTTTTTATTATTATTATTATTATTTTTTATATTTAGAATTCTATTTTGTACTTAGAAGTTTGATTTTTATTACAGAAAAAATTACTCATCAGATGACTATTTTTTCCATGTTGTGTAATGCGACAGAAGATGCTATACCAACTTTGTTTAAAAGGTACATGCAAGTCAGTGCAGACCACGCTCGAAAATATGGTGGCACAGGGCTAGGACTAGCAATATGCAAACAACTGGTAAGTTGAAAATTATATTTCATTTGTGGGTAAAATGTTTTTATCTATCTATATATCTTGAAATTCAATTTTAGTCTCTATAAAAATTTAATATATTTTTAGCCCCTACATTTAATAGAAAAACGCATACTTTTGTGTTTCTGTTATAGGCAATAAAACCAAAATTTGAGATATTTTGAGGATTTTACCCTTCATTTGTTTTCTTAACTTGTTAAATTGCTGAAGTTTCTTTGCCCTTGGAATAGGTTGAGTTGATGGGGGGTCAACTAACAGTGTCTAGCAAAGAACACCATGGTTCTACCTTCACTTTCATACTCCCATACAAGGTTTCAATTGCTTGTGATCAATCTGATGATCCGGATGAGCTTTCTGATGTGGAGAATAATGATGCTGCATCTGATGATACAATAGAGAGTTTCTTCCAATTCCAACCACGCACTTTGGGCTCTCTATTCTCTTCTAATGGATCTAGCAGGACACAGAAGTTGCTACCACAGAAAATTGGCTACACCAGCTCACATAAACTCGGATTTTCTGAGAGCTTATTCCCCTCCAATGATATCATGTCAAAAGGGATATGTTCCCTTGATGATGCATCTTCAGTGGTTGATACTCTGGAGATGTCTGAATCAGCTAGTTCTTGTGGTCACAGTCCAGAAGCAAAGAACAAAAATTTAGTTAGAAGAGATAAACAGCATCAAGATAAGGCTCATGTTTGGTCCCTGAATGGTTATGCAGATTCCTCTGAAGCTACTGTGGCCAATAGAGAAATGGTTGTAGCAACGAAGTCTAGTGAACACCAACAAACATGTCAGGGTCAAGGAAAGGCAAACACAACTACCAAATGTGTTACAAGCAGCAGCACATCAGAAGTAACCAAATCCACATTGAAGCCTAAGATCCTACTAGTTGAAGATAACAAGATTAATGTCATGGTGACACAATCCATGATGAAGCAATTAGGTCATAGCATAGATGTTGTGAATAATGGAGTGGAAGCTGTACGTGCAGTTCAACGATGCACTTATGACCTGGTTCTGATGGTAATTTCTGGGATCTTAGAATGGTATCTTGTGGCAATTTCGCCATATAAACATTTGCTTGTTCATGTTCTAAAACTAAAACTAAATTATCGTAACTTGATATGATTTCTACTAATCATTTGGTATTTGCACTTCACAGGATGTTTGCATGCCAATTATGAATGGTCTTCAAGCAACAAAACTGATTCGGTCTTTTGAGGAAACAGGCACTTGGGATGCTGCAAGAAATGCTGGAATCGAGCAATGTCTACCAGATTCAGATTATGAATGTTCTGTACTATCTACAAAGCGGATCCCCATTGTTGCCGTGAGTAATTAGTCTCTTAGAGTCTATTTGATACAAACTTAAAAGAGTTTTTGAGAATCTCTCTATTAAAAAAAAACTTTTATTTTTTAATAGAAAAGCACTCAAAAGCTTTTCTAAACTTATATCCAGACAAATTTCTAGTCTCTTTATCTGGACTAGAACGTTGAACATGTTAACTTCTATAAATATGTCACTAAATAACTAGTATCCGTAAGTTGTATATTCAATTAATTAAACAACTATTAGCCTATTACAAAAATATTTCCATCCTTAATAGTTCCGGCAGAAGCCATGATTTTCCTGCTTGTGCATTCATGCAAATGAGTTCCTTTTGGCTAATTCAAATTCTGCCAGTAATAAAAAACAGCTGTTTCTGCTCAAAACTAATGCTAAACAATCTTTTGATTGATTTCAATTCGATATTGGAATAGTTTTTCTCTTACACCAAAGCAAATTTTGAGAAGTAAATGATCATTAACTGTCTTGATATCTCATATTAATGCAGATGACAGCAAATGCTTTGTCAGAGAGTGCTGAAGAATGTTTTGCAAATGGTATGGACTCGTTTGTGTCAAAACCTGTGACTTTCCAAAAACTGAAAGAGTGTATTGAACAATACCTGTAATGTGATATCCTTGTAAATTCCAGCTAGTGTAAAAAAGAATGTATAAAAAGTCTAGGAAATTTTTGTAATGAATGCATCATTTTCTCAACCTTAGTGTCTACCTCAAGCTGTATAGATCTACAATGTTCTTTTTCATTTTCCCAAATTATTTTGGTAGTTCTGAATGGAGTGCAGGAATCACTACTATTGAGGAAATTCAGAAAAGTGAGATTCTCTTTGACTGAAATTAGTGATACATCATACAACCACTATATATGTTAATTAAGTTATAAATGTAGAAATTTATCTACTTTTAGATTATCCCTTAAATATTTTATGGTTTTGTTTTTTTCTTAAAGAGACATAGTTAGGTGTTGATGATGAGAATATGTGTGAGGGCCATGGCGGCGTCCCATGAAGAAAATAGGTCAACACCGAACGCCCGAATAGGTCCCAGTTAGGCCAATCCATAACATTTTAGTAGTCTTTAAAATATTTCATATGCAAAAAGGTTAAAGAGTCAAAATTTAGGGTTAGTGTCACTTAAGAAATTATTTATTTATTTATTTTATTTTGTTTACCACTTTAGATTTTTGTACAAAAAATAAGATCAACTTTAACTATACAAATTGTGATTTTTAATTAGATAACCATTAAACCCTTTTATTATTTCATATATACAAATATTTAAAAATAAAAATTGTGATATTTTCGTAATTAAAAATGAAAATAAGAAATTAAAAAAATCTCATATGTAATAGGCCCCTAAATTTTCTAACATGGATCCAAATACAAGAAGTGATGAGTGATGAGCACGTGCTTTCCCAGCAAGTCCCTTGTCGTTGTTGATATATAGAGCACGTCAAACATACCACTAGTTTAGTTGCCCATTCATCATTGTACGAAAATTTTAATTTAATATTTATAATTTTTTTTAAAATTAGTTAGCTAATATTTAATACACATTTCAATCAATAATTATTATTTTTTAAATATTTGATTAAAAATAATATTAGATAAACTAATATAAACGTGTTATAATTTATAAATCATAAAAAAGACTCGTTTAAATTTTTATAGTTAATAAATTAAATTTACCTCATTTAATGATAATCATATTTAGATACTCTTTTGTTTTAAATACATAAAAATCATTATGATTATTTAATATATTATGAAAAATATTTTTATCACAAAAAATCCTTATAAATGTTACTCTTCATATTTTCAATATAGTATTTTTTTGACTCCATTGCAACTATATTTTGATATATTAAAAAATATTTATACGTTTTCATCACATTTAATATATATAAGTTCTCGGTCCTAGCTCCTTGATTGAAGATCCGTGCATAAGGAGAGCTAAGGAGAAGCTACATCTTCCACTTCTCCTAATCTCTTCCATCATGTTGTCTTAGCTACCTAGTGTAGTAGTGATGGACGTATTTTTGTACACTCTGACTCTAGCCAGATTTGGGCCTTGTATATATATATATATATATATATATTGTAGATTTAAGACAATCTAGCCCTAAATTTTAATCATAACAAATAAAGTATAAGATTTTTTTTTTTGCATTGAAGTTACAATATCGTTTAAGTTATAACTTATGAATTGCAATGACACTCCATCCTTCTGTGACATTGCACACAACTCTCTCTCTCTCTTTTTATATATTTTTTTTAATGTTTACAATAACCTTTTTGGATAGGAGCAAGGCATGTGTATGTTTTTTTAAACAATTAAAAGAGATTTCTACAAAGTATAAAAGATTGTTAATGTAATATTTTTTAAACCATTGATTAAGAGAGTTATTGTAACTGTATAGAGATAGAAATTAAAGAACAAATAAAGTATACATTCCATTTTACGAAATTTTAAGTGTTGTTAGTATAATTTACTCCTCATTAAGTTTTTTTTTACACCATATTCCTCATTAAGTTAAGAACTAGGTCTACACAATATTTTAGTTTTATTAAATTTCAATTAATAATAAAAAAATGTCTTCTTTTATTTGTTATTTAAGGATAAGTAGGACAGCCACCGACACATGACATTATGATTAACCAAGTACTAAAAGTCAATATGAGATCAACAATTCTATACGAAAGACAAAATGAACGTGAGCCTAACCTAATAATTAATCTAGTCTGCGCATATATATTATTCTGAACATCATCAATATTCAATAGCCGATAGCATCCCTGAACATGAACGTGTTAGAAGTGCACCAACATTATATTATATCATTACCATCTGTTTCCTCCTGCAAACTTGAACGTGTCTTTCTGTTTATGACCATACATTTTAAGTTTTGTAGCTAATCTAATGTATATCGAACTTCCCCAACAGTACAACACTGTAAACAAACATGGCAGAATCACAGTGGCAGCGTTTAACTTGAGGCTGGGAGATATAACCAACATGGAAAACACGTAGCAACCAGAAAAGATAGAAAGTGGAAAAGTCACTATAACGCTGATGCGCCCTCGAGGCATTAGCAAACATATCATCAAAATTGATAGGTAAAAGGAAAATGTGTTGAAGGACCAGAACCAAAAGAAGGTCTTCGATTTCATCACCACTTTCCCAACATATTCTTCTGTTGCATCACCAATGTGTTCCCCGGATACGCTATTTTTCCTAAAGGGTGGTGCTGGTTTAATACTACCCTCGCCTTGGTAAACTCCACCAGGAGGGCTAAGTGCTGCTTCGTACGTGCTTGTTGCGAAGAGAATAGCAACTACCAACAAAGCGTTGCGTGTGTCGTGTGATATTCTCTTTCTGAGGCGTGTCACGAAGATTGCTATTCTCTCGTTGAATGTGATTTTGGCTCTTAGCTCTTCTTCCAGGAGTGGAGCGGTAGAAAGTGAAAAGCCACGTAAAGCTCCTCCTCTAAGTAGCATGTCTCTCATCTCTGCACTGTGAGCCTGAGTCGGATTAATCTCCACTATGTCCAATGCTGTTGAGTTCTCTAAATTCTTCGCGTTTATGTTTATCTTGCTGCCTATCAACAATCTTACTGCCTGTACAAAAGAACACAACATTGAAATTAACTGATGATTAAGACAAAAAGAGCTTCTTTTAATTAATTAACTCAATCCGCTTTGAGACAGCTTTTATTATCGCACCGCGAGTGAAATTAGTCTTACTTCCAATGAAATTAAAGGGTTAAAAACTAGTTTTATAGGCCCAAAAAGCTCTCAAATAAGCTCTTTTACATGTAATATAATGGGCGTTGGTGTTATTCTCCCATCAAGTGTTAATATTATTCTTCGAATTGTAGTTTCCTCTCAATAACAACATGCATGATATGTTAAAGATTTTTCCGCTAATGCATATTATTATTGAGATAAAACTTCAACCCTGATAGGAGAATAACACTAAGTTTTTTTCATCTTTAAACACGTCTTTGCTTTAAAGCAAAAAGAGTTGAAGGATATGGTTCATGCCTGTGAAGAGCCATTGAGAACTGAAAGGTGCAGAATGGTGTTGCCTGCCTCATCCTCCCAGTTCAGAATCTCTTTTTCCCGGTCGTGAGCATGCCTTTGGCAGTTTCTCTGAAGCCATCCAACCAAAACCTCCAAAGCCTGCAACTGATTATATTTCACAGCAACATGCAACGCTGTCTCACTTCGAATAGTCACATCTTCAATAGAACCAGGACAAGCCGACAAGAATTTAGCCACAAGATCAGTTTTCCCAGTTTGAGTTGCAATATGCAAAGGAGTGAAACCCTCTCTCCCTTTCACTCTGACAAGGTCTTTGTTGATGTCCACGAAGCGACACACCATTCTGTAGTGCTTGTTTTGCAAAGCAAGGTGCATGGGGCTGAGTCCACGCTGATTGAGCTTCCAAGCAAATGAGGGTTTGAGTCTGATGATCTCAGTGGCGAAACTGGCATGTCCAGCAGCAGCAGCAAAATGCAGAGGTGTGTCAACAAATGGAACCAAATCAGTGCCCTCCAAGAGATATGGTTTCATCTGAATCAGTTTATAGAGCAAGTCTATGTCCCCAGCTTGCGCAGCTGCAACCAAAGGGTCATTCATGATGCTGGGGAATTGAAGTAAAAGAAGGAAGAGGGGTTGGTTGGTACTACCAAAAACCGTAAACTTAGTGTTTCAATAATGATCGTGTTATAGCAATTTGAGGCCACTGTTAGGTCAATGTCTCAACAACATGATAGCTGTGTCTTGCTTTATATATATATATATATATATATATATAAAGTACTTGTTCTATGAGCGTGTTTCTCAAGTTTTTTTCTACATTCAAGGTTACATTCTTCGCTGTTTCACTTTCACTTAAATTTCTTATCATCTTCCCTTGGTCAGCCGTGGAACCCTTCTTCTTCCTCGCTTCCGATGATCTACAAGGAAATTAATGGGCTGTCTAAATGACCTTTTTGCTTAGTGTGGAAGTCAATATGAACCAAAGAATGTTGTATTGTTCAATTTTCTTATTAATCAAAGTCAATATCAACTAGTCAATTACTGTATTTATTATTTTCTACAGTTTACTTTTGGTCCAGTAATGTGCACTGTCATAATACTGGTCTTCCAAAGGCTATACTCAAAAAAGAAAAATTATTTTTTCCCGGTGTGTACTACTCCTATTCTATTCTATTCTATTCTATTTAAACAGAATTTCGTAAAAAATATATGTAATAATAATAAATAAATAAGTCATTATTTTTTTGGAGAGGAAAAAAAAGTCATTATTAACTGTGAAAAAACTGCTAGACATGCAATATTTTTTAAACATTTGAGTTTCATCATGGTATTATCTAGGAATCATTGAATTTCAGTTGATTAAAATTATAATATTTTCTAAATTAAATAAAAATCAAAATACTTATTCTCTTTTAAAATAATCACACTTTAAGACATTCGGATCCAATTAACTATGCCCTTGTAAAGTTGGGAGCAGAATAAGGCCTGATCCTCCCCCATCTTTCTCTTATGGTTTATGTTCCTGTTTGTACCTACCCAATTCTAGTCTTACTGATTATTGATATCCAAAAAAATTCAGGTCCGATTAGAGATTAAGCAATTGAATAATATATAAGTGGTTGCTAAGCAACTCTCACTTTATAAGCCGATTTTGTAAGGTTGAATTAAGCTTAATCCACTATTCTAAGATAGTATTAAAGCTATCATAAATTCTTAAAAAAAAGCCACCCACCATTGATACATGCCTCATAGACATGAGAGGGTGTATTGAAAAAATAAAAATAAAACTCAAAGTCAAAGGGCCGTGAGGAGGTATATTAAGAAAAACTCAAGTCTCACGTCAATTAAAAATTAGACAATTGAATAGTATATTAGTAGAACGTTGAGTTAGGCTTAAGATTTGTTGAATCGTTAAACAGGAGTGTTCTATTTGGAATTGGCCCACTTTTTTAGTTTATTATTTGTTTTGGGGACTCAGCATCTATGTCCATTCTCTTCCAGTCAAGTTTTATGAATTAGGAAACGTGGGATCAATTTACCAATCAATTATTTCATTACCGATCAATGAACTAGTATACTTGACTCGATGAACTCGTTGAATTAATGGATCAAGCTAGGCATAAAATTACGACAACTTACACAACGGGAATATTTTTATTTCCTTTGAAAATCACCCAATTCAAAACCTTTGTTCACGACCGTCTACCAAAAGAAATCCCGAACATTCAAATCACCTAAGTGGTAATTGGTAAATTACATTAGATGAAAGAATTCAACAAAAAAGTTTCTGACGTATTGAATTAAAAAATTGGAAAGAAAGTTCTATGGTCACATGCACGCACTTTCAGATATTATTCTGTAAAGGAAATGGTATGGAGAAATATTCTCAGTTAAACAATAGTAAACAGGGATATTCTGTTCAGAAGCAAATCGCCCCATATTATATTTATACAGAAAACAAAATAAAGGTAATTCTAGTTTCATTTATGTTGCTGACTGTAACGTTGTATTCCATGAACATCTACGATCCCCGGGGGGAAAACAGCATCAGTAGCAGCTCTAACAGCAACTTTTGCCACCGCAGTAACATTGACAGGAGGTGTCAATAGAGGCCCAACAAGTGGGATCTGCTTCAACGGCTTAGCAATTTCGAGAGCCTACAGCACTCAAGTGAAGTACGGTTAAAAAAATGAAGAAAGTTTAAGTTGATATTGAGGATAAAACTAAAGCAATTTTAAGAATTAGACATTCAATCAAAACCAAAAAAAGTAAAATGTTATGCCATGAATGTATACTGCAAGTGTGCATGCATACTTCAAGAAAAGTCAGAACTTTTACTGCGGGAAAGAGGAATTTAAACTTCAATTAATCAACCAGTAAACAGTTTAGACAATTTATGAGATTTTCCTTTATTTAAATTTTAAATTTTGAATAAATTTTAGATAAGATATTTGTTATTGTTACAATTTTAGTTTTATATTTTATTTTCAGTTATTCAATATAATCTCAACAAGTAGAGTTGTTAGTAGATGAAATTTGTTAGGATTTTTAAATTGATTGTAAGCCTATACATAAGCATCCTCTCCTATGAATTTCAATGGTAATTTTAATAATAATTTTCCATCTTCAATTTTAATTTTATTTTGTCTGCAAGATCCAATTTTTCTATATTTTTCACAAAATATTTCCAACAGTGGTATCAAAGCTTGCTTCTTACTGGCTGTGAGGAAAAAATTTATTGAGCGCTAAACACATTGAGGTTGAGTGCAAACACTAAATTGAGTGATTTATTGTTCAAACAATTTTTGGTGCAAGGATGTCTACTTCTACCAATTCACATGCAATTCCAATGTTTAATGGTAAAAATTATCATATTTGGGCCGTCAAGATGAAATTTGTTTTAAGATCTCAAGGTTTATGGAATGTTGTAATTTCTGAAGCTGATCCACCACCATTGAGAGAAAATCCAACTATTGCACAAATCAAAGCTTATGAGGAGAAGAAGCTGAAGAAAGATAAAGTCATCACTTGCCTACATGCAGGACTTGCAAATCATATTTTTACTAAAATCATGGGCTTGGAAACACCTAACCAGGTGTAAGACAAGATTCAAGATGAATTTGAAGGCTGTAACAGAGTCAAATCTGTTAGGCTTCTCACATTGAAGAGAGAATTTGAATTGATAAAGATGAAGGATAATGAATCTGTCAAAGATTATTCTACCAGATTAATGGATGTTGTGAATCAAATACGACTTCTTGGTGAAACATCATTTACATATCAAAAGGTTGTCGAGAAAATTACGGTGCCTGAAAGATTTGAAGCCAAGATTTCTGTAATTGAAGAGTCTTGTGATTTGCAAACTCTCACAATTACTGAATTGACCAGCAAACTTCACACACAAGAGCAAAGAGTCTCCATTAAAAGTGATGAAACTGTTGAAGGTGCCTTTCGAGCAAAGCACAATGGAAGAAATTTTGGAAAGTCACGAACTTTCAATAAGAACAAAGGAAAAGATGAAGGTTTTTCGAAAAAAGGAAATTTTTTGCCTTGTTTACATTGCCAAAGAACCAACCATTCTAAAGAAGATTGTTGGTTTAAAGATAAACCACTTTTTCACTATAATTTTTGCAATAAAAATGGTCATAGTGAAAAGTATTGCAAATTAAAGTAGAATCAGGCTGAACAACAACTAGAAAAACAGGCAAATGTGATTGAAGAAAAAGTGATGATGAAGATGAGTATTTATTTATGACATCTCAAGAATTCAATTCACATGAATTGAATACTTGGCTCATTGATAGTGGTTGCACTAGTCACATGACTAAATATTTATTATTTTTTACCTCCATTGATTAAGTCAAAAGTCAAGATGGGAAATGGTGAAATTGTACAAGCAAATGGAAAATGAACAATTTCTATTGCAACCAAAAAAGGTATGATAAATTGTTAAAGATGTTCTCTACATTCCAAAATTAGATCAAAATCTTCTTAGTGTTCCACAAATGCTAAGGAATGGTTATGGAGTCTCTTTTAAAGAGAATTATTGTTTTATCATAGATAAACATGGTTTAGAGATTGCAAAGATTGAGATGACCAAAAACTGTTTTTATTTGAAATTTGATTTGGTTGAAGATCATGATTTTATTGCTAAAATTGATGAAAGTAATGTTTGGCATGGAAGATTTGGTCACACTTTTATGCAAAATGTATTTGATACGACAAATTTCAGCAAATGGTATTCAAAGACAGGAGGAGGAGTTAGATTGAATGACTATGAAGACAATGATTTGGGTCAAGAAATTGATGAGCAACAACTCGATGACATGGCATTTCAAAACTCAATTTTTGGAGTTCATGAAACTAAAATTTGTGATGTTCATGTCAAATCCCAAGGAAGAGTGTTAGATTTATGAGATTTTTCTTTATTTAAATTTTGAATTTTGAATAAATTTTAGATAAGATATTTGTTATTGTTACAATTTTAGTTTTATATTTTATTTTCAGTTATTCAATATAATCTCAACAAGTAGAGTTGTTAGTAGATGAGATTTGTTAGGAATTTTAAATTGATTGTAAGCCTATACATAGGCATCCTCTTCTATGAATTTCAATGGTAATTTTAATAATAATTTTTTATCTTCAATTTTAATTTTATTTTGTCTGCAAGATCCAATTTTTCTATATTTTTCACAAAATATTTCCAACAAACTATAATTGAACAGGCAAACCCCAAAGCCCAAATCCCTCTATAAACTAATAATAGTAATTAATATCAAGAATGCAAAGATGGAAAAAACCTTAAAGATATTGGCTTAGTCAAGTTGTATACAGAGGACCTGTCTGATAAATTTCTCCATTAAACACTTATAAGAAAAAAAATAGAAAGGAAAAATGAAATAAATTTTTCCATAAACAAATATTAACTTATACGTAAACTTTAAACTAATTAGTAAAGGCTCTTTTACATTAGTTTCTCAAGAAACTTGTTAACAAGCTAATTTTAATTTACGGAAAAATTTATTTCATTTTCTTTCCTATTTTCTTATAAGTGCTTATGGGAAACAGACCCAAAAACTAATGTCAAATCATCAAAGGAGCAAAGTTATTTGCATATCTGAACGGAAAAAGTAATGTCTGCTTCATGTTAGAGAAGCACATGAAATTATTACCATTTCCAGTGGAGATCCAATTACACCAAGGGGTATCTTCAAACTCCCAACACTTCGAGTCCCATAAATAAATCCTGGCCTCAGAATTACTCCTGCAAAAAGGCATGTAATAGTCCAATCATGTACGAGCATAATACTCCATACCAAGAAACACGAGTAGCTTCACATTTTTGTCATTGTTAAATGTTAAATGGAAAATTTTACTTTCTTCATCTCTTGTACTAGGGAAACATCTTTGCAATAGTTTGTAAAAGAGAAAAAAATGGGTGAAAATGAACATATTGTCTCCTATTATCAACTAGGATAGCAAACACATTACAAGCGAAAAGATAAAATTTACTGACTTCTAAAGTCTAGCCCGGGTTTAATTCAGACCTCCTCAGGAGCAATGTTAAGAGACTGAATACTTACCTCCATACGGAAATTTGGCCTGGATCTCTGTTTCAGCAGCTTTCTGCATCAATTAAGACACTATATGAAAATTTAACAAGACTAAAATAGTAAATCTTGGCATCAAATTTATAAAAATAGAATCATGTACACATGATAAGGATTGCAGCCGAAAGAAAGAGAATAAGAATATCACAAACTGATGACTGAAGAAGTAAAATTATTAGCACTGACAAAAAGAAAACTGGCCAACCATTTAAATAAGTATGTATCTCTTTAAATGATCTGTTAGATACAATGACTTGGACCCAACTCTACTTAATTAATAAGACTATGTCAGTGGCTGGTTCACTCAAAGAAAGAAAGAGAAGATACAGTATTGCAGGAGATTAATCAGTAAAACTTTAAAAGAACCATCAAGAGGTGAATCTTCTGGAATTGGGAGGCTCATTGGCATAAGAATTCTGCTAGAGGAAACAATGGAAGAACCATCAAGAGGTGAATCTTCTGGAATCAGGGAGGCTCAATGGGCATAAGAATTCTGCTAGAGGGAACAAGAAAGGGGGGACTCGTGTACAAAGGGTGGTTAGGAAGGTAGTCATTAAATAGGAAAGTTTATGGATTTGGGGTGTTATAACTGTTTCTTCCAGTTTCTAGCAAATTAGCTGGAGGAAAGTATTATACAGCACAGGATGCTCTCCAAGGTATCTTATTTATTTCCTTTACAGCACCAGTCTGTTGAAGAGGGAATTCCTTTACAGTATCAGTAAGATAGCTAATTGCATTTTTTTAATGTACCCACAAAATGTTAAAAATTGTTGACTCTTCTCCATCACATATTTCCCGGTAAAGTTCGTTAACTAATGATTCATTCCTCAAAATATCCTCACAATAAAGAGTTGAACATATTACCTTTCCATCATAATACCCCTGTAGTAAGTAATTTACTACACCAAAGTCAGCAGCGGAGATATAGACAAATCTTTTAACACCTGTAAGACCAAGGGCAAATCATCCAACAGTAAGTACAAAGTGCCAAAGAACTCTACGGGAAGAAACAATAACTAATACATTTTTGGAATTTGGACAACCAAATCAGTTCCAGCTTCTTTTTTATTTTTATTTTTATTTTATTTTTTTATGAGTTAAACTGACAAGCAGCAAAGAGTTTCCAAAAATTTAAGCCCAAAAAATAAACTCCTTGGCTAAATATCACCCAATAATTTAGATGAGGAGACAAAACAAATTCATGTTTGAATTCATTTAAGTAAACACCAGTCTGACATTAAACTCGTTCCATACTACACATAACAAAGAACTATATAGACATATTGGCAAAGGAAAAGCTTAACAGAGACAACTGCTCAATTTGGTCAACAATTACATGAAATGAAGCAACATTCTATACACCCATCATGGCCCAAGTTGGAAAACTACGTAAAAAAGCATAAAATATTATCCAACTATTTTACTATTTCTTTTTCAGAGAGACAGATTTATATCTGAAAACTCACACACATGATTGTGCTAGAGACTTCAAAGAACAGAAGGCTTATAATTGTTCCGTAACTAACATATTTTATCCTAATGGTACAACAGAGTCTAACATGCATTATCCTATTTCTATGCCTTGTATGGTTTGACAAATGTGTGCCCTCCTCATTTGACCAGTTAAATCAAGTATAGCAATTCCTGTATTGAGTATTATGGCCGTACTATATATAATAACTAAAAAAACTGAAGTTGTGGTCTGCATTGCTACAATAACTTTCTTTTAATGAGGCAGACAAGTGTGACAGCCACCTAAGAAATTTTCTTTCCCCTAATTAACAGTACCATCCATCCTTTTCCCATTCTCCTCTTAGCCACTGTTAGTTTATTTCTTATAATTTGTAACTTTTAATAGATTAATTGTCCTGTGTCAATTATTACATGGCAGGAGATACGTTTTAGTTCAGGGACATAAAGCATAGAGTTCTTTCAGTAGATTTTTTCGGGTTTCTCAAAATTATCCAAATAGAAGATATGTTCCACATTTGTACTTCTATGGCTGTAACTACCTCATGACTGTATCTGGAGAGGGGTAGTTAGAAATATATCAGGGGTAAGATAGACTTGTTGCGGCTGCTGCTAGCTCTTACACTGCAATTTTGACATAGGAAAGGAGATATTGAGCTGATATATTGACTCTGGTAAATAGTAATCCCAAAAATTTAACAAGTTTCAGTATGATTTACAATTTAGGCACGTTCATTTGTAATAAGGCAAAACCATGTTGTGTTTTTGCAAAATTTTGGGAGTATAGAATGTTTTTGTAAGAAAATGTTTTATCATAAACACCTGTACAAATCTGCAACTTTGATCGCAATTAAGTGGATTAAACAATTAAATCCTATATTTATGTGGAAGACTAAGTAATTATATTAATGCTGCATGTAATGGTCTCCTAACTTGTATAGGGAAGAACATGTGAATTGCAGCACCACGAGTATGGAAATATTCTGATCTCCACAAGCTTAACATTACCATGCAAATTTCTATTTTTTTAATCTTTAAAAAGGAATCCAATTTTAAGTAAAAATTCTTGTCATTAATTGTATAACATATTTTTCCAATTCTTTTTAAGCCCAGTCATGTCATTTGATCTATTCAACAAATCCCACCTAGGACAATAAGGCTCATTTGTTGTTGTAAGCTTAAATTGTCCCTGCTACTCTAAGTAGAACCAAAAAATAAGGTAAGAATTGAGAAGGCAGATAATAAATAATAAATGTGTGAATTCCTCAATTACCTTGATCTGAAGCTGCTCTAATTGCATTGATGTTAGCAGTTCCATTAATTTTGTACATGTATGAGTTGGAGCCAAAACCACCGACGCAAGAAATCTTAGAAAAGAAACTCAAGTTAGCAAACAGACCTATCATCACAAGGGGACAAATATTTAAGTATAATTCTGTATCCTAAGCAACAAAATTCAGACACATTAGGTCAGTCGGTGCCATGCATGAAGCATGCTTATGATAATTCTTTAGACCCAAATTATCTTGCAGTCGTCAATCAAAAACACTCGCTTCTTTTTTACCCTTTCAATCCATTAGCATCACAATTATCAACCAAACTGCACAATCATTCTCATCAACATTATCTAGATTCACCAGTGAAAGAGGCTAGGCTTTAATCACCTTTACCAAGCTGACCCGAAGATGAGACAAAAATGAGAGATATTGTCAGACAACTAATCAAGGCATGGGCCTTCAACAACAAATTGGTGAAAATCTAAAGCAACATCTTGTAATCGCAAAGAAAACAGAAAATAAAGTAAAGCCAACTGATGGAGGACCATCCAACTTGCTTCAGGTTTCCTCTTAGATGTTAAATATTCACTGGGCATTATTACAAACTAAAGGGAAACTTGCAATTGCAAGTAAATTGTCCAGGAATTATAACAAGATAAGGGGAACTTACAACAGCAGTGACGCCATTCAAAGCTTCTTTCAATGAATCATTTGAAAGGAGATTCCCTAATTATTAGAAGACAATTTAGATATATTAGAATATTATAGCATCCTACAAAGATTTTGTTTACAATGAAATGGCAAATATATACAGCAGACCTTTATACCAAGAAACATTGGTAGCCCAGGAATCGTGCAGTGACGACCTACCAGACCTGGGAATATAAAAAAAACAGTGAATGGCAATGCAGATACATTACAAGAAGAAAAATGTTGAATAATAAAATACAAAACGTAATTTAATACGATAGGCTAATGATTAAATTTCTCATAACTATCTCATTACCCACAAATATCCCACAAGAAAACGATTAAGAGTTCCAATACAGAAAGCATGACAGACAAATAATTATACAAATACTGAAGAAGAAAAAAATATCAAACCTGCTAAGACTCGCAACAGACAAGCCGCGATCTAAGGCTTCTCTACAAACGTGTGATCCAACAAATCCATTGCCTCCCAACACAAGCAACTTCAATAACATTCAACACAAGTTTTAGGTTAGAAAAGGCATACACACAAATAGAAGTAGAAAAATAAATGTTTCACAAACGATATTATCGTAGTAGAATCGAATACCTTTTCTGCTGGGGGTGGGGGCACATTAACAGTCTCTGCTTCTTCAACTTTGAAGGGCTCATCAACTTTGTTAGAATCCGTGCAGAGATTTCTCCCGCTGATTGAAATTGCCGTGGCACTGCAACGTAAGAAAAGGGAAAACACGACGCAATGGGTGATTCACAAATCATGAACAGAACCGACATAAAATTGAAACCACATTAGTACTGAACTTGACGCTCTGAATTACACAAATAAATAATCAAGGATTCAACACAATTGCATTTCAAACTTACAGAGCACAGTTTCATTTGAACCAGATAGTTAACAAAAATTAAAAACATTAGCAACAACCACACATCGAATTGAGTAGAACACAAGGAAAAACGACAGGATAACGGCAAAAGAGAATATAAAAAAAAGGAAGAAAAGTGAAAACTGACTTGAGCCTTGAAATGGAAGGCGTGGAATGGATCAAGCGCGAAAGCACTGTCCTCATTTGATAACTGAATTGAGTTTTGGTTTCCGAAAACAAGATTGTAGTGTTAGGAACGGCGAAAGCAGGTATGAGAGAGAGTCAAGTCTCAAACTGGAAAGTGCAGACTGCAGAGGGCGAGAAGCAGAAGCAAAAGCATACACGTGGCACCGCTGCTTGCTGACACCTCTTCACCCTATGTGGCTCTATTTCAACCTCAACCTTTCTCACCGCTAATAATAACTTTTTTCAAACTATTTTAAATCATAAGATTATAAATTTATTTATTTATTTTTACTCAATTTAATTTTAATCTATAAAAAATACTTTTTTATTTTACCTTTTTATTTATTTATATATATATATACATTTTTACTCTCAGTTTTGCGGTTAATTTGTATTTCCTAAACACGATTTTGTTTTTTTGTTAACCATCTTAAGGCCTTTTTTGTTGTCCGAAACTTATACCGATCCATCTTAGATTGGTGTTTTTGTTTATTGGCAACTTGATCTATTCTACGTCTACTTGTGGGCTATGGGCCGTTAAAAAAGCCTATGCTTGGGGTTGGATAAGCATTTAGCATTTCACAAGCCCATCAACAGGAAACTATTCTATTCTGGTATTCAAAATCAAAAAATTGCTTCATACTATCCATCAATTTCCTTTAATAAAATTACTTTTATTAAGAAGTGTTATTAATGCATATGCTGCTATAAAGCCAAATAAGTGAAATCATAATTTAAAAATTAAATTATTTTTTTTTATTTTCCTATAATATCTAAACCACAATTTAAGTTTTTTAATTTTCAATTTCACAATTTTAGTCTCATAGCTTAATAAAATGTGAAATTTTGATCTCACCATTAGATTTTCATTTTTTGATCGATAAAATTACACCAATGATTATGACTTGATATTAAATAGATATTATAAAAATTAATATAATAATATTTAAGTTTTATTTTTCATTTTTATTTCATAAAAATTGTAAGAAATTGGAAAACAAAGACTAAAAGTGTATTTTAATATAAATATTAATTATCCTATCATCTACTTGATGTAAAGTTAATAATTAATTTTGCAATTTTAACAGTCAATAAATAAATATTTAGTAGTGAGACTAAAATTATAAATTTTATAAAATTAATAAACTAAAATTAAATAATTTAAAATAATAATTAAAGATTAAATGATATTCTTTTATTGGTAAATTTGTAGAGATGGAATGACAATTTAACCTAATATATAAGGTATTATATGTGTTACATGCTCATTTGAAGTAGTGCCAGTATAAGAACAGTTTGGATTAATAAATTTGTGACCAATCTATAAAAATTGCCATGTCAATTTTATGTCCAATAGTCTCTTTATTTCTTTAAAATTGTAAATCACTACTTGGATAAGTGTACTCCAATTTATATAAACAAATCAAGACTCTTAAAATGTTGTTCCAAATCCTTCAATAATGGTAAAGGTATAAGCAACTTGATATAGTTTTTTCCTAAATAATTACATGTCACAATTCAATGTTCATTGTACCATATATCTAATACTTAATGAAATTTTCAGAACTACAACAATAACCACAGTAAATTTGTCTCTGTTGAAAATAATTAATTTTCTTGTTATTATAAAAAATACTAATTTTCAAATAATTATGAATGACTCGACCCTTATTTATAAATAAATTTGTTATATATATGTCCATTCACACACAAAGCTGTGAAGAATGGTTTCTAATTTCTCTATTGATGATAAATAGATTACATATGTAGAATTAGAATATTCACGAGGCCACAGATAAAGCTTAAAAGAATTATGCTGTCCCTGCTCATCAAAACGCTACGTACCAATCTATCGTGTTCATAAGTCTAGTTTATGGTTTAAAATTTACAAGAAGGTTCCAAGAGATTCATACATAGATCCTTATTACACGCAGCATTGTTTATGGCCAGACGATGTCAGGAGAAAAAATCACTCTTATGACTTGCAGATTTTCACAACTAGGTATTCTTACTTGACATTGTTGCTTACAGTAAGTGCATACGCCTGAAGAAATTCCTATTGATATATACATTATATTCGATACGAGGTGGAATTTAGAGATTAATACAAGTGACATAATAATATTGCGCTGGAATCGACCATATGAGATGACACATTGAAGCTCTTACAAGCTGGAAAACGCACATGATTGAAGAACAGGACTGTGTACGTACGTAGCTAAAAAATAGATGCTGCACAGATTTTGAGAAAGCTTAGTGCTGACTCATGATTGCAATAGCTCAGCGTGCATTGTGTCAAAGAGGGAGACAAGCAGAATATATTGGATCCTTCAGGTGTGCCCGATGGTGGACAAATATATGTACGTGAAAACTGAAAACAACTACCATGGAGTGTATCTTTTAACATTTGCATCTGCATACACTAATGGGGATTTATAAACATTCACCAGATATACAGATGATGTTTAATCAAGTTTTTGAAAAAACATAATGATAACTAGTTTTAGAGTAGTCAATTTAAACTTAATTCAACTCTACAAAATCAATTTGTAAGGTAAAAATTATTTTCTACTTATATACTATTTAATATTGTCTAATTTCTAGTCGATGTGATACCTGGATTTTTCCTAATCCACCTCCTCACATCCAGTACTATTGGACTTGGTACGTGGATGAATGGTGGGTGACCCTTTTTAATAATCTATGATTGGTGGGACTTGAGTTTTTTTTTCTAGTATGTGGATGAACGGTAGGATGACCCTAATCTACGATTGGCAGGACTAGAGTTTTTTTTCTCAATACACCCTCTCATGTATGGTACATGTATCAATGGTAGGTGACCAATTTAAAGTAGATCTTGATAGCTCTGATACCATCTTAAAGTAGTAAATTTAAGCTTAACTCAATCCTATAAAACCGGTTTGTAAGGTGATGATTACTTTCTACTTATATATAATTTAATTGTCTAATCTCTAGTCAGACTTGGGTTTTTCTCAATAATTAGTTATTATTACACATGGTCCAATAAATATGGTTTTGAGTTTGAATATTATGAATGAAAAAAAATGTATTTAAATAAAAAAAATATGATCTAATAAATATTTTTAAATATATAAATTATATTTTAAATTTATAATAAATAATTTATATTGTAGTAAAAGTTTTTTTATATATTGGCAATTTATTTTAAAATATTAATATTTAATTTATAAATAATTATAATAAATAAATAAATAAATCAGATAAGAATTAAAAAAAAATCTTCAAATCTTCCATTGAAAAGTCTACAAATATTCTCACGCAATACAATGTAAACTTATTTATAAAATTTGTTAACAAATGATATTAGAATTGATGGATTGGGTAGGGTGAGTAATTAATAGTCTATGAATAGAGTTCTCCATATCTCAGTTACTAAAGATTTGGTTCAGACGGCATTAATTAATAGTTGTTCATAATATATATACATGGAAGAATCTGAACTTGAAGTGGCAGTTTCCTTATCCAAATAAAAGCTAGTATATGTTTTACTATAGCAAAACGCATGTATAACAAATTAATGGATATGGGATATATTAGTGAACATTTACGTCACAAATCCACCCAATTAAGTTGGGGATCGGACTCGTAGTCGTACTTACTTTTCCAGCGTTGCAATTAACAAAAAATTCCAATACCATATATGAGTAATTATATTTAGATTGCTTTTGACGCTAACTCCGGATTAAAACATAACAAGTCTCATCATATCCACTTTTGATCCGGTACTAAAAATACAAAGTTCTAAATATCTAAGCATAATTAGTTATTTAGTTATGATAAGAACAGTATACACATTATTAAATGAGGTCACGAGCTATTGTTTTATGCTCCAAATATTAGATTACTACTAAGCACGATCTGTTAATGATTGAGGTTGTGAATAGAAACGAATTGAACATAGTGACGTTTGTGCCACTATAGATAAAACAACAGTTTTTGCTTCAACTGCAACAAAAGGACCATTTTCAAAATTATTGTTGGTTGTCGACTATTTATAGGGCTAGAGTCTATGAATCTCTTTAAATGGTCGTCATATTATTTGTTAATAATAGGGGACTGATAACCATATTTTAATGGTCACAATAAAAATTATGTTTCTATAAACTAAAATTACAAAAAAAAAAAAAACAGATGAATTATATAGGAAATGTCATTTGCTTAAATACATTTATAATGTGTTTGATTTAGTGGTAAAAAACTATAATGAGTACAAAATTATGACGAGATCACTGCAAAAAACAATTACTTATTGTTTTTAGAAATCATTGTCCGTTTAACTCACCATAAATTCAAACACACACTCAGTATCGTGAGAAATTAATGCTTAATTTATATATTCTCCTATTACCATGTATTGTACGAATTCAAATATCTTCACAGAGTATTTGGAAATATCTAGAACCTTTTTTCATCTGATCACGTTCAATTTGGCTAGCTATTGATGTAGTACTAGTGGTTCTACCACTAGTTTTCAGCTTGCTTAGTGGATTTCCCCTTTTTCCTTTTGGCTATATAATTCGGGGGTTTTCTTTTCTAGTGGCAAAGGTGATAATGTCTCTTTCTAATTACGTGGACTTATGGTTAATGGTTGATTAAGAGCATAATCCAATAAAATAGCTAAAAAGAAAAACAAAGATTTGAAATGGATTAGCCCATAAGAATATGGTTGGGTACATATATAAACTGATGGTTTATCACTTATCAGTGTGACCGATGAATGAGTACGAATAATTATAAAAGTGACCCTAAGAAATTAAAGAATCAAAGTTAGAGAGCATTAACTCTTGGGGTGGGGCTTTTATGAAATGAGTAAGAATATATTTTGATGTAATAAATCAGGAAAAAATGAAGCATCAAGGTGGGCATTGTTGAATATGGTGTGGCAAATTTATGTGTGGCAAATT